CTTTCAGGCAACAGTGAAATCGCTGGTCGTTGAAAGAAAAAATCGCTCGTCTGCGCCAACGGGCAACAAACTTTCTCAGCCAATGCAGGGATCGAACACGCGAGCTCCAGGCTAGCGAGCGAACGTTTTACCCACTTAGCCATTTGGCTCCCCAGTATGTTAAGAAAGCGCTCAAATATCGTAATAAGATGCACAGGAATCTTTTGTTTTTAAAATAAAATTAAAGTGAAGTTGACGCCTCATAAAATCCCCCATTACTTTGAATTTTAAGTAAAAAGATATGAGCACTATCTCACTAACACAGGTAAAGCTTGTTGAATATCTGGTTTATTTAGACATTTGGCAATTAAATGTCCACTTTTTTCTTTCTTTTTCTTGTGTGTGTTGTTTTGTTTTCGTTTATTTATCTTCTGCATTTTTAAAACCTTTTTATTCGCATCTATTTTCTTTTTAGGAGATAATTAGGAGATAGAGGAGAATCAAATTCTAAGATAAGACACATGCAGTCGATTTATTATAAAACTCTTTAAAACATCTAGTTTGCTTGTTTCGCAATAATTTTTTGTTATCAATTGAAATGGGTTTCTGCTATCTTTGGTCGCTTTATCACAACCGCTCTTTAATCATCCACGGCACAGGTATTAACAAACATAATAGATAAAAATAACTGGGTCAATTCTAAAGTAATTTTATATATATTTTTTTTAACATAGACTCGTTTTACGGGCATGGTATGCTAGTATTGAACAAAATATACTTTTTTATTTTTTTTATTTATTTTATTCTATTATTTTATTATAGTTACAGGTTTGTCGGTATTTAGTGTGTTTTTGGTATAATTATGATAGTTTTTCGGTGTTTTCGGAATATAGAGTCTCGTAGTGTTTTGCGGTATTTTTCGGTGTTTTCGGGTTCATACATACAGTATAGATATTCACAAACAGAACTGATAAAAATAATTGGATAAATTATAAAGTAATTTTATATATTCATTGTTTACAAGCTATTCGTTTAAGGAGTATGGTATGCTAGTATTCCATACAATACAGGTTTTGTTAGTCCGTACAATTAAATTTATTTTTGGGTTAAACATCGACCCACACAAATAAAACTAAAGCGATCTGGTCTGTTGAATCTGTTGAAATTGTGCCACACAACAGTTTACGAATGCAGAGAAACCAACATGTCAAAGTGAGCGCCACAACTCTTCAAGATGACATAAACAAATTGAAGAAGTATCAGAATAAATGAAATGAAATGGGGTTTTACATCCTACTGTTCTGTCCCGACTAGGCTATCGAAGAAGGGCATAAGCTAAACAGTGTACACCAGGGAAATTGGGCTCGAACAGCGGCACTACGACCTATGGAATTCCAACTGCCAAGGGATCTTTTACGTAAACCCCAATTTGTACACGGCTCTTCGGTTTTTCGTCCCATCCTAACGACTATACATTGTCCCTTGCCAGGCACTGCATCACTATGTAGTATAATTGCCCAGCAACCCACAACAGAATATGTTATTATTTTGAGACTAAAATAATATATGGTAAGTTTCGGTGGGGTGTCAGCGCCACGTTTCCATCTACTTCCAACATACAAGAATTTTTTAACGATATGGATTTGCAAGAGATGTCGACATTTCAACCTGAATTAATAATACGTCCATTTGTTTTATTTTTTGTTTTGTAAATGGAACTAAATAATAGATTATTATAATTGATTTTATGTGATTTAGTGGTTAAATCTGGCATATAATCATCTTCTTAAATAAATAATAAGGATATTAGATCGCATTTAGATAATCATTTCAATATTTTCTATGCCTTCCTCCGTACAGAGAGCCTAACATTTAAACCGCTGCTGTACGTGAATTGGAGCCACGGTGAGTACAGCACTGGCTCGCCAACCAGGACATTCCTTGTTTGATACTGGTGTTCGATCGAGCGTGGCATGAACAACGTCTAGTCTTCGTTAAATGTCGATCTGCACGTAAAAGAACCATTGGAAGTTCAAATCCGACGATTACTGGGCACACATTATAGCGTATGCTGATCTTCGTTAGTCCGGTCAGTGCAGAAAAGTCGAACGTTAAACACTATTCCATTTCATTTCATGAAGAGTAGTCAGATGTTGAAACCAAATTTGGGTGGGACAGAAATAAATGACGTTCCGTGTACATGTTGGCGTGCACTAAACAGAACCCTTGGCAGTTGGGATTCGACTAAGAGCAGGCTGAAAGCGACTGTCTGGGCAAAATGTCCCATATAGCACACTGCATGGCGTATGCCCGTTTTTATTACCCCGGTTGGTGCAGAAACGGAGGACGTTAAACCCAATTTCATTTCAGTACATTTCTGTTGATAAAATTTGCAACTACATGTCCACATTAAATATTTATCATTTTCAGTTCAAGATAACCAACCAGCCAAAAGATAACTTATGTGCGGTACGTCTGACACTTCAGTTTGTTCCAAAGTTTCTTTGTAGCATCTTTGTTTTGATAAGCCGAGACAGAGCAAAAATAGTGGAATCAAACGAAAGAACGAATATTCTACGTGATAGCTTTTACACTAACTTTAAATCAATTATCTACGAGCATGACGCAAAATTCCCAGACAGTTAAGTGGTTATTTTTTATGGAGTGAAGTTTTAAGATGGCCAACGTAATTAGATCAAATTGAAAAAAGAAATGTAACGTGGATGAATTGGGGTTAGTGGCAGGTATAACTTGATATAACTTGAGCAGAAGCGACATCGATTGCATTAAGAACCTTCATAGGTATCGGGTGCTTGGTGTTGCGTGTCAGACCTGTTGGAATATATAAACATTACCAAATTTAGACCATCAAATCGCTTTTTAAATTCACCTTTGGTTTAAACATTGTTTATTTCGTAATTTGCACAATTTAAAGGCATAAAGATCACGATACAAAACAAGCCAAAGAGGCTTAAAATCGATCCATACGAATCATTATTAACTTTTCTCAAGAGAAAATATTTTTAATCGTTTTATCAAAAATGTTTCGTAGCTTAAAAGGCTAAACAAATGATACCTATATTAGAAACGTCTTGGACGTTGAGAATCATTAGTAACTTTTCTGAAGATTTGCAAACGTTCTACGTGAAATGTTTCGTAGCTTAAGACATTTTGCAGCTTAAAAGGCTAAACAAATGATACCTAAATATGATACAATTAATGTCAAACAGCACATTATTAGAAACGTCTTGGAAGTTGAGACTCATTATTAACTTTTCTGAAGATTTGCAAACGTTCTACCAGAAATGCTCGAAGTTTAAAAGGCTGAAAATGCATTGCCTACAAATGGTACACGAAAATCCAGATGAACTTTCTTGGCAAACACATGGATAGATCAAGGGACCTAAGGGTCAGCGAGCCAACTTCTTACTCACTGAGCCACCGTGGCTCCGGTCGCATAATAAAGGGTTTGAATTCAATCAGTTATAACACGTCATTCAATGTTACATCAACATTAAGTATCGACAGATAAGACCCGGGTTCTGTCTAGATAGAATATCAGACTTATACAATGACAACTGACTAGTTTTGTAAACTTCCAACTGAACCACGATCAATCAGACAGACGATAATAATAGACAAAATTACGTTCATCTCTAACTTTCTCGGTCGCCATTTCTATCTTTAGTCCAGGCACGATACATCACAATGAACACGAGGTGATCTACAAACCGATATTCAGGATCTTCCGGTCTGATAAATCTCATGCCCCACCCCATCAAAATATAGATCTGTACTTCATTCAGATTGAATAATATTTTGGTAGACAGTGGACCATTTTACAATATTGTACTTTGCAATTGGGAGCCACTGTTGCTCAACGGATAAGGCGTGGGCTCGGTAACCTGGAGATCGCAGGTTGGAAACCTGTGTTGGCAGACAAAGTTCATCGGGATAGTCAGTGGTGCAGGACAGAGGGCCTAGCAAGGGCAAACGTTTAGTCGTTTGGATGGGAATTGCATGTTAAAGATCCCTTGGAAGTTGGAATTCGATATAAGAGTAGGTCGTTGTGCCTCATATCACACTGTATGCCTGTCTTCATTAGCCCTGCCAGGGCAAAAGAGTAAGACGTTAAACCCCACTTCATTTCATTTTCACTTTGCAAGTGATTCAAAATCCCCCAAATAAGGATTGACAAAAAGCGTAGCTAACTCCAGCGTTTACCTACGCGTATGTACAGTCTGGTACTCAGGGCCGCCGAGAGAATTTTATATATGCCGAAGTACGACAAACTTTTCTCAAAAGATTTGACTCCTACACCTGTGCAAGGACAAGGAATGGGCACCGCGGGGGCGGGGTGTCGGGGTTCTGCGGCTCAAATACCGGCCATGCCTACGTAGCAAATAATAAATAGATGTTTTTGGGCCCGGGAGCTTCATTGGCCCCGGAGAGACCTATCGGCTGCACCCCCTCCCCTCCCCCTGAACCAGTTAGTACTTGTTCATATATGTTTTCATCAGCATAAATTTAGTATCTTTTGTGATTTTTCTTGTGATCGCAGGTTTTGATATTTTTTGATCTATTTCTCTGTGTCTGTTATCGACCAGATGTTAAAATCGATACCAGAATTAAATTGAAATTGATTTAAGCTAAAGACAAAATCGATGTAAATTTAATTGAAAATCGATTTGTTTAATTTAACATCCAACACTGTGTAGGTTTCAGACAAAATGATCAATGGCATTTAATCGATATCAATAATATATAAATATACATTTTTGTTTCAATTAAATTATCCATTTATTTATCTTTTTATACTTCATATCGATATCAATAATATATAAATGTATATTTTTGTTTAAATTAAATAATCGATTTATTTATCTCTTTATATTTCATATCAATATCAATAATAACTATATATTTTTGTTTCAATTAAATGATTATTCATCTTTTTATACTTCATATCGATATCAATAATAAAATATAAATTTTTGCTCGATGATTTTTTTTTTACTTACTTCTGACTTTATAAAGATCAAGTATAAGTTCTCCTAAGACTAAAGCACAATCTACCACACATAGCAGGACCACAGCTAATAACATATATTTACTCCGTAATATTTTTTCTCCTTCACGACGCCACCTACAAATAACAAAAAACGTCATAATTTACGTGGACATCTGAAATACAAAAGCATAAATTCTAGAAAGGGTCAAGTTGGTTTGCATAGGGTACACCATCCGTCACCAGAATTTTCAGAATGAATCAGTCATTAACTAAACAAGCGATTTCATTTTACAATTATATTTATGGACTTATTCTCTGATGTTTGTGCCCGAAAATCTGAATTACATTGCCCGAAAAATGGACAGTTCACCGCATCTGGCGGGAGCGAGGGAGCTGGAGGTGCATTATACGCCAATGAATGATCTTATATATAGAGAGAAATGGGGTTTAACTTCCACTTGACACAAACTAGATCAATTCGGGACTAACATATGGTTCAAATTTATTTCAATAATTCGCTTGCGGGTAGGGGTCTTTAGCAGTGGGGGAAAGCCGGTAGACTCGGAGAAACCCCATACGGTTGGAGAAGCGATCATACTCCTTGTCACGCACAACCAGGGAATCGAAACCACGCCAGCTGGCTCATTGACAGATCTCATGATACAACGCGCACACCATTCGGCCATTCAGCCCCCTCCCCCGCCCCGCCCTCGAATGATCTTATAAGACATTCAGTACTTTAAACTTGGACAACTTGTATCCTTATAACAATGGACAGATACTTGGTCTACATTGTGTACAACATCCGTTATGATTGGTCGCTATGGTACGAAGTCAACCAATACCAAAAGAGGAAATGATCTTCTTATAAGACATTCAGTACCTTATATTAAACTTAAAAATATGATGTTTTATAATCCATCAATCAAGATGAATGGCTATGTTTCTGGTGTAAATAGTTTGCAATAAACCACGCATTAAACCTTGATTTGTTTCTGGCACTGTTCAAGGGAACTTAAGCTGGGGACTTTAGCATTTCTGGCATTATTCAATAGAACTTAAGCTGTGGACTTTAATACGCATACAGTATTATGTATGTGTATACAGCTTGACTTTCTAGTATGCGGGGAGGGGGAGGGGGAGGGGGGGGTATGTTTTTAGAAGGGAAACGTGTATTTTAAAACCGCAAGGCCTCGCTCATGGATTCTAGTCTGGTATCAAATAAGAAGTACGCATGCGCGATATACATTCTTAAAAATGTAGCAACTATTTAGAATGTCTTTGTTCACTGTGTTTATTTCGCCGCGCTTGTCAATTACTTTGCAGACAGGCCGCTATTATTGCTGTTAATTGGAAACTGTTCTTTTTGCCATCTAGCGCGACTATGGCAGCATTCAATTATACAAACATTCAAAATTGAATGTTTTCGAGACTTACCTAGCCACGGTTTGCTTAGGTGGCGCCTTATTATCTCGTCTGATTTCCTCCTCCAGTTCATTTTCTATTTTTTCTACGTAACCATGTGTTTTGGCTAGCACTAAGGTTTCAGCCACTAGAGTCTGCAATAAAAGAATAATTTCATAAACGATGCGAGTCATTGGTCATCATAATTATACTTTTGTAAAATATAATATCACATGAGAAAATAATGTAGAGTACACGTGTTTCGTTTGCTAAAGCCCACCCCACACGGGGAGGAACTGACTGAGCTAACAGTCATCCGAGGCTTTTGACTCTGCTAACATTGCTAACGGTGTGCAGGCAGATCCTCTGTGAAATCCAGATATCTTTCACCTCACGACGCCGAAATCAAATCGCGTGAGAATGTCGTACGCCGCCAGCTCAACGGCTTAACGTCATACTGCAAACGAATAACCACGGGAGTGTGTCACGTGATTTCAATATGGCGGCGCCCATGTAAGGGCGGTTTTCAAACATAATGAAGGATATGACGCCGTCTAGTCCTAACGACTGGCTCCTCTCTCAAGTTTCCTAGGAAACACTCGTTTCTGATATCACCCTAGATGGAAGCGGACGTTAAGCACGAGTCTGGTCATAAATCGACCAGTGTGTATTCGACCTTGGATATTGAGTCTGCCAGCCTATTCCTCGCCGCCAGGGGTGGGCTTAATGCAAATATCGGCATTGTTATCAAGTGCTTTATAAATGAATTTGTGTATTGCATTAGTCCCGAACTAAAACTCTACTTTGGTCGAAACGTATATAAGTAAGCATGCAGACATTTAACCAATTTTGGTTGCATTACTTGGAAAGGAAAATCTTTTTTTTTCTAGCTGCACAGACTAACACAATCAACCTGTAAAACTTGGAAGGCCTAGAGTTCGTTTTTAATTCTAAACTTTTATCGAAGACAACACAATAGAGTAAATTATTCATAAAGTTTCAATGTAATAATATAATATAATATTAACCTCAATTATAGACTGTACCCGATCCAATATACGTGAAAGCATAATATTGAATTTAATTCATCAAGAAATTGAATAAAAATTATTATTGACGTGTATTACGTCAATGATCCAGTAGAAGATACCATACATTTACACGAAAAAGCTTGTGATATATACATATGACGTCATGGAATCCATTGAACCAATCCGTGTTCCATAGAGGCAACCATGTTACCGATAACTTAAAATGCAAATTTGTTTAATGTTACAAGTAACTGAACAACAATGACGTCAGAGCATACATTGAGTTTGTTATCATCATTCGGTCATGCTGGTTTGTGCGGCTTTTTTGTACTAGTAACAACATTAATATACAAATTGTCTATTCAAGCGATTAAATGACATTAGCGGGTCAAAACATTTAATCGACCCCCTACTGTGCTTTAAATAATCTAAATAGACAACGGTAAGGTCAGAAGTAACCGTAACTAACAACAAAAAATAAAAACACTCAAAAGTCAATTATTGAGGTGCGGTGGCACGATAATTGGACATCTTAAAGAGACATGGTCTTGGTAATCGAGACCACAGACAATTTACAAAGTAAGTGAAGCCGCTCAATGGAAGTGAAATGCAATGGAATAGGATTTAACGTCCTACTATTCTGCATCGACTGGGATAATGAAGATGGAAAATTGACGCGCATTGAGAGTCTTCTCATTGCAGGGCACAGTAACTGGACACATAAACGGGGGTGGGGGAGGGCGGTTTCGCAAACCGAGACCACAGACAAAATACAAATTAAATGAAACCGCTCATAGGTTGGAAAGACTTTTCATGGCTTTCGGTTTCCATGTTTTGTGTTCATAGTGTGCTGTCTTTTTACCGATAATATATCTGGATTGTGGTTAGCTGGTGCCCTTTCATACCACTGCATTTATTCTTTAAGAATACACCCACATAGCAGTAATGTCTTTCCAGCAGTTTATCCTAAAGGAAAAACTTGGATATTGACCGAATTTGATATTTCGGCAAAGGCGGGACTACTCTGGACCTGGAAGTTGGAGAAGGCTAAATATCGATGGCGTTCGTCCTCTATTGACCATAATGTTTCACGTCAAATTTTAAACGAACACTCCAAAAGCTATAGCATCTATTGCGTACATAAGTTTTTCGGTAAACAGTGGGGTTGGGTTGGGGGTAACTCTGGAACGGAATATCAAAGAAAGCTTGAATATCTATAGAGTTCGTCTTCTCATGACTCCAATGCTTCGAACCAAATTTTTAAAAAAAAAACTGTAGCGTCTGTCGATTTCAGAGCGGAACGGTGAAAACATCCGTTAACCAATACAGCCTCTATGGCGTTCAACAAGGGACACAACTCTGGTACGAAAGGTCGTTGAACGCTGAATATCGATAGGGTTCATCCCGTCATGACCACAATGCTTCACGTTGAAAACTGTAGTGCCTATCCCAATTGTTGATGATCGGACGGCCCAAGTGACCGAAAAAGTCGACAGACCGACGGGCGGGCTGACGACATAATACACCCACCTTGAAATGTGGGCGTATCAATATGCATATTACAGTTGATCGGTATTTATAAAGCGTTCGTTTTCATATTGCGTTAAGAATTTGTCAGAAAAATTCGGGTAGCGGGTCAATCAGAACAGTAAGGCATGTTCTAGAATGTTACTCCCCACAACATCCATAATAAGGTAATAATCATTAATTTCATCATTAGATACTGCCGCAAGTTCAAAATAACCAGCGGAATTAAATTTCGTGTTAAACAGTATTTATTATGAATTTATTTTAAAGTTCATAAGTTTAACCGTCTCTTTGTTTTTGAAAGAGAACAAAGAAACAAGACACCTTTTCCTCTATAACTTCTTTATTCCAACCAACTAATTCCTTCAATAGAGTGCTCGAATGTCTATGAAACTTTTCTATCGATGTATTTCTGTTAACGATCGTGGTAAATACTTTTATTTGATTTTCACATCATAGACCTTTTAATGAAGACAAAATTTACCCAATTTTCTGCCCTAAATTGTACATAATCTATAGTAAAAGATAGAAATGGTAACGAATGGATTTGTAGATCGAATGTCAGAGATTCCCATGTATGAAGACGACCATTCCCTTAAAGACACTGATTGGCTTTAGTGAAACCTATTGATTTGGCCTGTCAATACCAATTGGTCCAACTCTTAATTCATTTACGTTTTTCTCCTTAACAAGTAGTTATAATGGTCCTCATGTTTTAAACAAACTCAGGGGTTAATCTAGATCTTTGATCACTGACAGACGCCAACGCAGAATGAGAAAAACGTCATCAAAAAGAAAAATGTCGACGTATTATGAAATTAAATAGGGGGTAACGTTTTACTTTTCTGCACCCACAAGGCTAATGAAGGCGAGAATCAATGTATAGTGACACTGAAGCTGCAAAGCATCCGTGTGAAATAAAGAGCACAATAGGATTGCGTGCATGTATGCAGCACCATAAGCAGTATTTCGAATACAACAGATTCAAAAGAACAAAGAAATGAAATGAAATGGGGTTTAACGCCCTACTGTTCTGCTCCGACTGGGCTAATGAACACTGAAAAGTACAAAGAAAACCCGCATTATTGTCATTATGAAGAATAAAATGAAACGAAGTTTAACAAATCGATGCAATGGAATCCGAAGATACGTCATGCAATTCACTATAAAGGCAATTTTATCCGGAGACCGGCGACGTGGAACTCCTTATTTCGATTTCAAACAGCCAAACTAACTTTAATGTACCTCAGCGACCAGACGCATTTCCATTTACTACTGCCAAACCCTATATATCTGGACCTCGTGGCTAGTGACCCAGTATTATATTTCAATAACGGGAAGCTTTATGGATAGCATTCCCTAGGTTTATTAATTGCAAAGTTCCAATGGGGATACTCTAGCCGTTATAAAGCATTACATTTATTGGGATACCGTGCCTCCAATCTGATTAAAACACAGATCCTATTTCGTTTCGTTTTTTATAGTTCAAAATTTCGTTTTACTTGTCTTTACTACACTAGGATCTGGACGAATTGTTATACTACCGGCGTTTTGGTTGAAGTAAGGGATAAACCAATGAAACGGTCTGTTACGGCGACTTCTTGGCGTGCCATGCACGGAACTGTGAATAAACCACGAAAAATCAACGCTAATCGATTAATCAATGTCTGACTTCTTAGGGTCAAAAGCCGCTCATACGACCCCTGATACGACCTTCGAGTACAACTTGTCAGATCTTCATGTAGTCTAGACCATCGAAAGTATAAAAAAAAACGAAACGAAATATAAATCTGTATTTTAATCAGACTGACCGTGCCTGTCATAAATTGATGGAACTACAAATGTATATCAATATTAGTGCCATTTTCGACACAACTGTATTAACATGAATATTACCGAACCTTTAGTTTATAAAACATACGGGGTTCACGGTGGGTAAGACGCTGGCTCTCGCTAGCCTGGAGGTCGTGTGTTCGATCCCTGCATTGGCCGATAAAGTTCATCCAGATTTTCAGGCGTGGTTTCCCTTGTCAGTGATGCAGGACAGACGGCCTGGCAAGGACAGCTGTCTAGTCGTTCGGATGGTACGATAAACCGAGGTGACGTGTACACATTGGCGTGCACGTTAAAGATCCCTTGGCAGTTGAAATTCGATATAAGAGTAGGCCATAGTGCACACTATATGGCGTATGCCCGTCTTCATTAGCCCAGTTTAGGAGCAGAACAGTAGGACATTAAACCCCATTTCATTTCATTTCATTTCATTTATAAAACATACTATGTGTAACAGTCTTCATTATCCCGGTTGATTCAGAAAGCAGGACGTAAAACCCCATTTCTTTTGTCTTTTGGATTTTTATATTGACAAGTACGCCGTATATATGTAGAGGAAACATTTCATGTTATGCAAATGCAATATTGCTCAGCGCAATAAAATGGAATTGCATCAGATAAGTAGAAATGTTTTTTTCATATTTTCTCGTTGTTAAATACGACAGAATTTCATAATTAATCCGATGACATGACATTTTGTGTCGATAGTTATAAAATAAAGGAGGAAGGACAGTCAATCATGGGAAACTCTATTTCATAACACG